TAACCTTCTTTTATTATTTGTTCCATATGGAATGTAATCACTTCTCACTTTTGTCTTCCCAATTTCAACACCGAAGCCTTCCTTTTTTTTATTTTTTTCTTTTTTTGTTCTTTCTTTTTTCTTTTCTGTCTTTTTCATCCCCAAACAAAGCCTATCTAACCTAATTGTTTTGTATCTTCACTCGTTTTTTTTTTTTTTTTACATAAAATAATAAATTATACAATAAAAAAATATTCCTTTTGTTTTAAACTTTTTTCCCTTAATTTTAAAACTCAAACTTGAAACTTTTGATGTAAAACCTCAAATTCTTTCCTATTATAACATCTAATTGTAACTCGATTCTCATCCCGGCTGTTTCTACCCATCTCCTGTGATTTATAATGGTGAGGCTCTGGATATATATTAGGAAAAAAAAATGTATCAATTATTTGTTTTTTTTTTTAAAGGCAAAAAGAAACTTTTATTAACTAAATACAAAAGCTTTTCATTTTACTTTTTGTAACTTTGATAGCGAAGCAACGCAGCAACCCCATCACAGCCCCTTCCGATACCATCTCTACGTATAAATTTTTAGTTCGTCAAGTAATTTTTCTTTCTCGAACATGAAGTTCAAGGATACACACTCTAATTTTTTTTTTTTTTATCTTGCACTTTAGAATGAAAAACAATTCAGTAATTCAAATTTAAAATCTTTGTATTTCATCATAAAGGTTTGACATTTAAACATAAATCTCTATATATCATTAAAAAAATGTAATTTGAATTATAAAAAAATTAATATAATCTTACTCAATCAACATTTCCAAAAGGATTCATTTTGATTCATTAAAATATATTGCTCCCTTCATTTAATTAAAAGTAGTTTTAGTTTGATTTTTTAATTCTGAAAATAAAAAGTTTAAGCTAAAATTTAACATATAAATAAAAATTTTAAAAATTATACAATAAAAGTGTTAAACAAGAATTATGTATATATAGGAAATAAAATTTCAATTGAGATTAATTTACTATGTTAAATTTTTCATCTAAATTTTTTACTTAGAATAAAAAAATCAAATTAAAACTACATTATTGAACAAAAGAAGTAATATTTTACGTCTTAAACTGTGCTTTTGTTTTTTGGTAGGTCGAAACAAATTTTCCTAATCATAAGGTTAAACCACAATTTTAATTCTTAAACTTTTTGTACTAACCTCTCATTTGTTTCCTCAACTTAATAAATTATTATTTGATTTCCAAAGTTTTACATTTCAACTCTTTTTTAACTTGTAATTTCAACTTTAAAATCTTAATTTTTGTTGCGTGATTGTGAAAATGGATTTTTATGTTGCTTATCTCCTTATTGCTAAAAATCCTTGCCTGAGTCACCTCTTGAATTCCTTGATCATGCATTGCGAGGCACTTTTGGCCTCAATTCCTCGTCATCAGTGTATAAAGAAGTTAATATGTGTGCTGATTACCTTATCAATATGAGTTATTATGGGCCCACTTTTTCGTTTCACAAAAAACAAAAATAAATTAAATTAAATTAAGCCAAACCCTTTCAGACATTAATCTTAATTATTTAAATTTCAATAATCAAAATCAAAAATAGAAATTATAAAAAAAATAAAATTAAAAAGTAAAGTTAAATGTCAATTATAGTCTCTAAACTTTCAATTTTAAATATTTTAGTCCTTAAACTATTTTTAGCACTTTTTTATCCTTAAACTATGAAAAATATATTTCTTTAGTTCCTCCATCACTTAGCCAATTAAGTTTGTTTATATATGTATATTTTTAGTTCATGAACTTATAAATTCAATGACTAAAAATGTGTATATATTATAAGTTTAGAAACTTATTAACACTAAAATATAGAAAAGATTGTGTGAAACCAAGTCCTTTATGATCAAGACTGGAGAGAGCTTACAATGGAGAGAGAAAGAAGAAAAAATAATCTCCTTCCTACGTCTAACATTAGGATATTTATAGGATATTATGTAAAATCATTCTAGGATTATAATTCTAGTTGGGTTGATGTTTGGTATTCTAATTTTAGTGAGATTCAGTTTATCTAATCTTGATAAAACTCTTTTAAGATGCTTCCACGTGTCCTAATTCTCATAGGATTTAATTGAGGGTATAACAAAATTACAAATAAACTTACTTGGATATACTTAATAGACTAACAAATGGTCTAAAAAGGTATATTTTCACCAATAAGAACTTGGTCAAATTGGTACCAACTAACTTGAAATTTTTAATTTAGGGTCAAAATAAAAGTTTTAAACTTTTGTATTGCTAAGCAGTTAATCCTTTAATGTACCAAAAAAAGGTTCATTTTCATAGTTTAGGAGCCAAAAAAGTGTAAAAAATAGTTTAGGAACTAAAATGTTCAAAATTTAAAGTTTTGAGACTATGACATTTA